TTCCTTTTAAGTTTCTTTACAAACATCAAAATCTTTAATTGAAAGTTGTAGGCATAAACAAGTGGCTGTGGAGTTTATAACAATAATATTATAACAATACCACAGAAAGAAACAAATGTTGATGCATATATAACAACGTTATGAGTGCAATAAATGTATTCTAAATGTAATAGCTCTAAATATAATGGTATGTCAGCTTTAATTTGTTTCTCAGCTATGTTTTATCTCGTTGTTCCAGAACATTTTTTTATTCCGCTTATATGCCCCCTGGATATAAGCCCCCTCATTTATAAGTCCACCCAAATGCCTTATGAAGTTACATAAGCCCAGAGCTTTAATGTGGGATTTTACCGTAGGAGTTATATAACATCAAACTTCTGTTAAACTTCTACATCTTTTAAAACGTCATATTGAATTCAGGGTATTGCATTTACGAAATTGCCACTTTAGTTGAGAAAAAATTTGAGGCAAAAAAAGGAAATAAATGTAAAATTTGCTTTCCATAGATCAGTTTGCTTTTATATTTGGTATTTTTCTGGAATCCTCTACATCAAACATAATTTGATGAAAAATTAATGGTTCATTTTGATAACAAGAGAGTCAAAGTGACAGTTAATGTCAAAAGAACTGGTCTCTGGTTTGAACTGTCAAATTTTAAACTATGTAAATATAGTGTTTACTTCTCTCTATACCCTTGCTTCCTTCCTTCACATTGTCAAATAACTCATCAAATTGAAATTCAACTTATAATTGGTAAGCCTGGCAAATTGTACTGAGGAGAGATTTTTTCACAAAACTTCTTAGATGAGGGTGACCGAGAAACATTTTATGTAATTAAAGTTTCACATGCTGGAAAACAAGCAAAAAGAGGCGTTTGTTTTTCTGATAGTTGATTAATATTGTTTTCCACAATAAATACTACCAGAGAGTACTAAAGGGCACTTAAATAGACGTAACACAGAGATATTATTGGAATTCCTCAAGAGAAGCTAGTGTGGCCTTACAAATAAATGATCATCAGTAAATATCAAAACCCTTAGAAAGTACAAAAGAACTTGAAGAGCAAAGGAGTGGTTATACTGCTTTCCAGTGAGTTTTCTACCTGTACACTTATTTAATGTTTACAGTGACAGTGACAAGCTTCACATTTTCACTTAAAACATGTAAAAACAGATGTTTGCACTTTCAGCTATGTGCAACAGTTCAAAATAGATGTTGAAATGTTAATCTGCATTCCACTCCCTTCTTTAAAATAACTGTTGCCAAGAATGGTGTTAAGGTCAAGGTGTTTGTTGGCTGAAAAGATTTCCGGATTCTTGGTCAATATTTTTTAGAAAAAGTTTTTTGAACATCAACTGTAAGCTGATATGGTGAGTGAACTCGTTTACTTAAAATGGTAACAGCTTAAAGTTCTCAGCAGCCTACAGTATCAACATATGTCAGGACAATGTAAAGCTGACAGGTTCTTACAGGGTCCTTTTGATGATATACAGAGAGTTCCTTGAAACAGTTTAGTTTAATTTATTCTATTAAAAGGTTCATGACTTTGGAATGCTTTGTTAGTAACTCTTTAACTACTACAAGAACAACACAAGTTTAAATTGAACCCAAATTGTCAATTGTTGGTTCCCTCAGGTATTTCAACCACAAGCTCATTATGATGCAACTAGTTTGGTATGCAACACTGAAACCTCCTAAAGTTATATAAACAACTCATCACTTCTGTTATCTTATTTTTACAAACTAATTCTATTGTGCGAGAACAAGTTCCTTTGTCTTATAATACCTATGGTTCCTTGCTTTGTTCCCTATTGACCAAACATGTTAATGATATGCATAATAAACTCCCTAAAGTAAAACTTGTGTGCTTTCTCCAAGATTTGCATTAACAATAGATACACCTGCATCTTCTGAAATAACACGAAGTACAATATTTAATCAATACAAAGCTTTAATATTTCTCTTCCTCTATCTTAAGTGTAAACTTCTTTAACTGTAGAATAGTTCTGCTAGAGAAATTAATAATGCTAATTGTTATACCATTCAGTGAAGTTCACAAGCAAAACACATTAACATATCCAAAATGAAAGTTGGCTACATTCATAAAAGAAATTTGCAAAATTCATCAAAAAGGTTTCACAATGTACAAGACATTCACCATTAGGAATTTCTCAATACTACATTCAAAGATAAATATATAGATTCAATTGAGGCCTTGAGCTACTGTACTGCATTTTAATTCCAACCTTCCAGAGCTGAGGACTGTAGTTGAACAAGCCTGTTAAATTATAGTTGTCAACCTAGGGAGAATTCTGAGTTACATTTAATAAAGGGAGCAGCCTTTTGTAATGAGATTTGCTATCTTTTGGTTATTTATGAATGACACTGGTTACACAAGGATAAAGTCATTGCTATAAATTTGGTCTAGGCATGTATTATGTTGAAAAGAAATACTGCTATGAAAGACAAACAAGGGAGAAAATGTGATCAGCATATTTCTAATGTGAGGAAATTAATTCTATTTCACACATCAGATTCAGGGTTTTTTCAAAGAAACAACTCTCTGGTTTAGCAAGGAACCCCATTTTTTTACAAAAACCTCCAAAATAGCCAAGTTTTATAAAGTGCTGTCAACATGAGATGTGAGTACATGTGTAATGTCTTGTTGTTGTTGTTTTATCAACATTGATGTAATTATTCTGAGACCATTACTTTTAGAACTGCTTTGTCTTTGAAATATACCTAAATTATATACTACTTGATAACTGGACAAAATCATGTTGAAAACCCAAACAACAGATTATGACCAAACTTATAAACCTTCTGTTGACAGTAAAAGAAGGAAAACTTTTCTCCCTCTATCTAGCATGGTTTGGCCTTGGCATGTCCAAAGTCAAACAAAGATGTCCACTTATTAAATTTATATTAAGACAAAACAAGTAGTAGACAGATTATCACTTAAATCCTTAGTACTGATCAAGTCATATCTTCTCATTACTACTTTACCAAAAACATTTTATCAAACAGCCTGTTACACACACAAAAAAACAATCATCTTTCGTTTTAGAATTGTTTCAATCTAACAATAGATGCCCTCGGCAGAATTATGAAGGCACATTAGATAGAGAAAAAATTCCGGTGCCTGACCTTGGACTAAACAGGTTTAGTTGTCGTCTATTGTTTGAAGGTATCATCCAATTGTACATCACAACCTTATGACATTTTACAAGACAATAAGTTGTCAAGTGAGTACAAGAACAATAGTTTTCAACAATTACATTCATTATAAGCCTTTCTGTCAATCATAGAAGATTTTACAAGTAATGTTATTTCTTGATCCGAGGTTTAATCTCTTAGGTTCAGTAAAATGTTGATGAAAACCTAAAAAAAACAACAAGAAACCTCAAAAGCAGATAACAGGCAGCAACACCCAAGAAATTCAGAGAAAGATGTTGTGTACAGAGATAAAAATAGTGTCACGACCTCGTAAAGCAAACGCTAGAGTTAGATTTCACATCAAGGAATATCAAGTAACTGAGTCACGTTAAACAAAACCACAAAAGCATGCCCCTTAGATTGATTTTTTTCCCCTTGGCTTCATGACCGCAAAACACGAGACACTCGTTGCCCTAGTCCAACCCAAAGTATCGAGAAAGCGGTAGCCTGATAAATAAGTGAAAGTAACTTCTTTTTTATTATTGATTCATATAATAGTTAAGTTACATAACTCAGTGTTTCCCGCGTGCACGCACGATTAGAAACGGCTCGTATCCTCTTCAACCACACAAACGCCCCCAAGGTCATGAAAATCATGTCTTGAAAACACAACCTAACTTATAAATCCCCTTAACCCTGCATCCCTGTAGCTTCATCAGTTTTCAGATTACACCAAACAAAACACGAACAACGCATGAGCAACGAAACAAGGAATGATCTAGATCTCCACAAGTGCCTCAAATAATTAATTAACACTGCAGGCTTTTCACTTCTCATGACAAATTAAGGTAAATTGCGAAAACTAAACCCACAATCTTCTAGTGCAGAAGCTTGCAGTTGATACTAACAACATAAGATGAAATGTCACAATCTATTTGCTGTGTTTATGGCATATATGTTCTGTTCACCTGAAGCGAAAGAATATATAAATATGCATAAACACGTTAGCTGTCAAGTGGATATCCCTAAAGTCATCTAACAAATCGCGAAGGGACGCATCTCTTTTCGTTTCATTTCTCTTGCAAACAGCCTGCGCTGTAATTTGCAAACGCCAGCCGCAGGAAAGGAACGTTTACCACGAAACTAATTGTTCGCTTAACACATTACACTACAAACAAAAAAGTCAAATACATAACGTCATAGCACGTCGATGAAACTCAAGTTGCAGATTATACGACCCGCGAAAAAACTGAAGGGGAAATATGAAACTTATCTTCTTTTTAATCGACTGGCACGAACTTTCAAGTCATGTACGTAAAGGAAAGGCTTAAGTCGAAAAACAAAGCGTCTTAAATGTTTACTAAACCGAACTCTTCTGTAATCGAGTATTACATTACTTACTTTGAATACGCGATGGAATTTATTCACTCACTCAGAGGAAGTCTTTCATGATTTATGGGGAGAAAAAGAATTTTGCGTGTAAAATAGCGGCGATTTCCTGAAACAGCACGTGGAGCCCGGAGGGGCTACTTTTGCGATTAACTTGGGATGCAAATAGGGCCCTTAGTTTTCCCTTTAACAACAATGAAACGTGGTTTCCAGAGGCGGATAACACAACGAGAACAAAAACAAAAGCCTTATGAGCGAATTAATTTGGATTGTTCAAATGCGCGCACGTGTCGGGTCACAACAAAACAACAACACGGCGTTTGTCCTTGAAAGTAGTAGACTATTTTTTCATTACCTCCACGCAAATTCACAACGTACATGTAATTCTGTATTTTTCACTTTGAATACATATACGAACAGGTCCTACAAAGAAGATATTAAAAATTTATACTTACTTTGGTGAGAATCTGGATCGCCAGAACTTCGAACGGGACTGTTGGAATCCTGTTTGTGCTCTGCGAATAAAATGGGAAACTAATTGCGGTCGATGGAACGCAAGAAAACAAACTACACAAACATAACAAATTCATTTCTGTAGAGTAATAAAATGATTAAATTACACACCCAAAGAACTTAAACAGTTTTCTGTTTTAATTATTAAAGAGAAACATAGCACCTCCAACTTGTTGATAGGAGACCGAGTTGCGCAAAATTTAACTCTGTAATTTTGGTGTGCTGGCATCTAGACACCTGATCAGATCTGCTGTAGACCTGGCAAACATGGAGATTTGTATGTGAACACTTCTTACCTCGATTACACATGAAGTTTGCTAGAAATAGATCCAGTTCTCGAACTGTCACCGTGATATGGTTAGGCAAAACACACAGAGTCTGACTCTGGCAATGCTGCGACTTGCCCAAACGCTCGCCGTCCGTGCTTTCCAAAGGAATGCCTCGGAACAAAATCACCATCACCAGATCTAATCTCCATACTTTGTCAGCTTGGCGAAGGCAGTCTATGCGCCTCATTTTCCCCTTCTGATCAGGGTTGGAAATGACGCAACGGCACGACGAGCCGGGTTTGTTTCCAACGACTGACATCACAAAGTCCTCCCTGCATTCTTGGCGAATGTCCTTTCGCAGCTTTGCCAAAAGCCTTGAAGCCCACTTTTGCTTCACTTCAGGGGCTTCAGCATCTAGCTCTTCTTTGCACCTTCTCTCCTCGTCAGGAGTCATTCGCACTTCATGCTTCTTGTAGTGCTTTCGCTTTCTTGCTTGCAAATTAAACCACGTATAGGCAAAAGCCTTTACATGAGGAAGCAAGGCTTCGATGAACGAGTGTATCTCGTCCTGGAAATCAAATAAACCGGGGTTAGTCATTTTAACGAAGTCGACTAGAGACGTACTCTCGCCGCTAACCATTGTGCCCTCCGCTTTACCCCGCTCACTGAGGCCCATCTGAAGACATGATAGAATTTTTTTCTCCAATCTACGCACACTGTTTACTTCGTGTCATGCGTGTCAAATACACAAACGGTTTGTCTATCACATACGGGCTAGCCAATCAGCACAGAGGCAGATGACAAAAGACAACAAAAGCTGTCAAGTGTTAACCATTGAAGAACTGAGGTTTCACGGCGCCACTTTGCGGAGAATTCAAACTTCAATCGGGTTAAATCGGACGCCATAGGATTTTCATGTAAACCGAGACGTGAAACCTTAAAAAAGCTTTCCGAAACTCGGGTCCTTCCCACGCCGACTTCCGTATTACGCTCCAAGACTACTCCACAACTAATTACAGGGTAATCGCAAATGATCGATAATATTTTCCACAGTGGCGCGAAACTGAAAGAATGCTTTGTGTTGTGGTCCAGCTGATTCATAACACTGCTTCCCGAATCAGCTAACCAAACCATCTACCTTACTTTCACTTGGTGATAAGCTAGAAATATCGACAATTAAAGAGAAAGCGATCGGACGTTCGAAAACAATTGTTAGGGAAGATCGCTTGGAATTTGGTTCGACCACAACTTCCCAAAACAAGAGCTGAGCAAATTTTCCTCAAGTCTTTTGATGGACAGTTTTACACAGCTTGGCGCCGTGCGGTCGACACCAAGTCATATTGTGGTTGCATTTAGGACGTTTAAATTCGCTATCACTTATCAATGTGATCCGAGGGTTAAAAAGTTGGATTACTTTTTCTTTATCCAAGGGCGGATAGCTCACGAACTATCCGTGAAAAATCGAGAAAATTTGTGTGACAGTGTGTGACTGACAAAATAAGCATGTTTGAACAACTACACAGAATCTGAGAGAAGTTTTCATAACGTAACTTTTCGATCCAGAAAAATTAAAAAAGTGAAGTTAATGTTAATCGGAAATGACGTATCAATACACATCATGTACAATCCCCACAAACACAAAAAGATTCGAGATTGGTGTTGTCTCTTAACGAATTATCCCACGCCTGTTTTGAAAACACTTGTTGTCATTTTTAAGCCTAATCTATCCCATGTCAACAGGAACATTTCCTGATTGTTTAAATCACCGTCTTTTAAAATTTGATCGTGATTAGATCCGTAGCCCCCGATCGTGTGTATCCTATTGTCGTTTCTGTTTGACATGACACTGGAGTTCAGTGAGTGACACAAGCATCAATCAATATTTAATTAACATAATCGGCTCTTTGAATTCACTTCGATACTAAACTCTAAACTAAAGAAAATTACGTTGTATATAGACTCGCTCCCAGCGATGGCAAACTCAATTCTCCTATAAAATCCATAAACGCAGCTCATGCAACCCTAATTGATTTTGCATACTTGGTGAACTCCAGCTTGCAAAACAATGAGAGACCTTTGAGGCGGCTTAAAGTTAATTGTTCTAATACCCTTATGCGTAAGAACAGCGCGTCACGTATCAGGTTCCCGCTCTCTCACTCAGGAAGTCATAGCCACACGTCTTGAGCTCGTGATTATGGGCGTATATAGATCAACAGCATAACCAAATTTGGCGCAAGGTGAAGCGGAACCCCTTATAAGGGCTGGTAAACATGTGCTGTACTAATGGGGTCACTTGATTACAAGTGAGAGCTGAGAGTAGTACGAATTATAGGGAGGAACGGATCACGGAAGTCGGGTTTAGAAAACAAACAGATTGTGTGGTTTTCAGAAAAAACATGTTCACAATCGTGACCAAATAAGGTGCAAGAGAGCCTAAGCCTTACTGTACCAAGTTATTTAACTTTTCTGTTGGCCACAATTAGCTAGGAAAATTTACCTACTTCTACCGCAAATGTTACTAAATTTGCGCATGCTTTTTCAAAGATGTAACTGATTTTAATGCAAAACATTGTTTATAAGATCGAGTAAAACTGATTTCTAACGCCTTTAACCACAAGTTAACCACACAAAGGAACAATAACCTTAGTTTTTGAAGGAAACACAACACAGTTAAACAGCTTGAATAGGTTTTGGGTCACTCAACAGGATGTGCATACGTGGGTGTGTCTTTGATTGAACAAAAGTAAAAGAAACCTTTTCATTTATATATGTCATTTCATTGTGTTTTTAAGGACATTTCAAACTTGACCGTAAACAGCATGAAAGCACCAGCACCAATGCACGGAACTTTTGGACTGTGTTTGCTCTTACTGAAACAATAACTCCACAAGAATCACTTAACACAATATGAATAGTGGTCGAGTATGACAAGAACCTAAACTATATTTTATTGTTTTGGTATGGCAAGGCCACAAAACCCAACAGTCTATTCTGAATTGAAATTTCATATAAAGTCATATAAACATACATAATTTTGACATGTTCCAAAGTGTTAAATTTGTTTTTCGGGCTGCTAGCTGTAGATTATTCATCGCAATGTATATGACTTTAGCAATCTTTGAGAGTTGAAATTTGTTTACAGTAGGAAAATTGCTAAAAGAAAAAGAGGTCTTATGTCAGTGCCATAATTGGAAGGAGTTTCTTTGGGTTATTGGAAATTTCTAATTATTATGGAGGAAGGATCTCAATAGCCAAAATTTTAAAGGACAGTATGGACCAAACCCTGTATTTCCAGAGAGAATAGGGTATTCAAACTGAAAACCCTCAGTGGGAGGGATATGGATATTTTCTGGAAATGATGCAATATACATGGAGGTGTCTGTAAGGAGAACTTCACAGTAAATAAAATTGGTTTGGACAAAATTTAACACTGATTGTATTATTACTAACTTACTTCTTACTATAGATTTTTTAATATTTGAATTTTGATATTTAATCTGTAGTTTTAACCTTGTTATATCTGGTAGATAAAAGGTTCCAGAAAAGAAAAAAGCATGATAACAGTAAGGTTGCCATGATACCATCTTCAACATGTTGCCTTTATCTCATGCTACTAAGGTTTGCTGCAATCAAACTCAGTTTAATGCAATCAGTGAACACTATAAGATATATTGTGAAATCTTCAGTAGTTGCCATGGCAATGCTAAAAGTAATAAAACATCCTATTTTATTCCTTGGTGGCTTAGAACTGGAAACATATACTTTTTAAAAAGTCTTTAAATTTTTTATGTATTTTGTCAATTTATTTCTTTTGTAAGACCAAAACTCCAAAACATTNTTTTTTTCCCCTTGGCTTCATGACCGCAAAACACGAGACACTCGTTGCCCTAGTCCAACCCAAAGTATCGAGAAAGCGGTAGCCTGATAAATAAGTGAAAGTAACTTCTTTTTTATTATTGATTCATATAATAGTTAAGTTACATAACTCAGTGTTTCCCGCGTGCACGCACGATTAGAAACGGCTCGTATCCTCTTCAACCACACAAACGCCCCCAAGGTCATGAAAATCATGTCTTGAAAACACAACCTAACTTATAAATCCCCTTAACCCTGCATCCCTGTAGCTTCATCAGTTTTCAGATTACACCAAACAAAACACGAACAACGCATGAGCAACGAAACAAGGAATGATCTAGATCTCCACAAGTGCCTCAAATAATTAATTAACACTGCAGGCTTTTCACTTCTCATGACAAATTAAGGTAAATTGCGAAAACTAAACCCACAATCTTCTAGTGCAGAAGCTTGCAGTTGATACTAACAACATAAGATGAAATGTCACAATCTATTTGCTGTGTTTATGGCATATATGTTCTGTTCACCTGAAGCGAAAGAATATATAAATATGCATAAACACGTTAGCTGTCAAGTGGATATCCCTAAAGTCATCTAACAAATCGCGAAGGGACGCATCTCTTTTCGTTTCATTTCTCTTGCAAACAGCCTGCGCTGTAATTTGCAAACGCCAGCCGCAGGAAAGGAACGTTTACCACGAAACTAATTGTTCGCTTAACACATTACACTACAAACAAAAAAGTCAAATACATAACGTCATAGCACGTCGATGAAACTCAAGTTGCAGATTATACGACCCGCGAAAAAACTGAAGGGGAAATATGAAACTTATCTTCTTTTTAATCGACTGGCACGAACTTTCAAGTCATGTACGTAAAGGAAAGGCTTAAGTCGAAAAACAAAGCGTCTTAAATGTTTACTAAACCGAACTCTTCTGTAATCGAGTATTACATTACTTACTTTGAATACGCGATGGAATTTATTCACTCACTCAGAGGAAGTCTTTCATGATTTATGGGGAGAAAAAGAATTTTGCGTGTAAAATAGCGGCGATTTCCTGAAACAGCACGTGGAGCCCGGAGGGGCTACTTTTGCGATTAACTTGGGATGCAAATAGGGCCCTTAGTTTTCCCTTTAACAACAATGAAACGTGGTTTCCAGAGGCGGATAACACAACGAGAACAAAAACAAAAGCCTTATGAGCGAATTAATTTGGATTGTTCAAATGCGCGCACGTGTCGGGTCACAACAAAACAACAACACGGCGTTTGTCCTTGAAAGTAGTAGACTATTTTTTCATTACCTCCACGCAAATTCACAACGTACATGTAATTCTGTATTTTTCACTTTGAATACATATACGAACAGGTCCTACAAAGAAGATATTAAAAATTTATACTTACTTTGGTGAGAATCTGGATCGCCAGAACTTCGAACGGGACTGTTGGAATCCTGTTTGTGCTCTGCGAATAAAATGGGAAACTAATTGCGGTCGATGGAACGCAAGAAAACAAACTACACAAACATAACAAATTCATTTCTGTAGAGTAATAAAATGATTAAATTACACACCCAAAGAACTTAAACAGTTTTCTGTTTTAATTATTAAAGAGAAACATAGCACCTCCAACTTGTTGATAGGAGACCGAGTTGCGCAAAATTTAACTCTGTAATTTTGGTGTGCTGGCATCTAGACACCTGATCAGATCTGCTGTAGACCTGGCAAACATGGAGATTTGTATGTGAACACTTCTTACCTCGATTACACATGAAGTTTGCTAGAAATAGATCCAGTTCTCGAACTGTCACCGTGATATGGTTAGGCAAAACACACAGAGTCTGACTCTGGCAATGCTGCGACTTGCCCAAACGCTCGCCGTCCGTGCTTTCCAAAGGAATGCCTCGGAACAAAATCACCATCACCAGATCTAATCTCCATACTTTGTCAGCTTGGCGAAGGCAGTCTATGCGCCTCATTTTCCCCTTCTGATCAGGGTTGGAAATGACGCAACGGCACGACGAGCCGGGTTTGTTTCCAACGACTGACATCACAAAGTCCTCCCTGCATTCTTGGCGAATGTCCTTTCGCAGCTTTGCCAAAAGCCTTGAAGCCCACTTTTGCTTCACTTCAGGGGCTTCAGCATCTAGCTCTTCTTTGCACCTTCTCTCCTCGTCAGGAGTCATTCGCACTTCATGCTTCTTGTAGTGCTTTCGCTTTCTTGCTTGCAAATTAAACCACGTATAGGCAAAAGCCTTTACATGAGGAAGCAAGGCTTCGATGAACGAGTGTATCTCGTCCTGGAAATCAAATAAACCGGGGTTAGTCATTTTAACGAAGTCGACTAGAGACGTACTCTCGCCGCTAACCATTGTGCCCTCCGCTTTACCCCGCTCACTGAGGCCCATCTGAAGACATGATAGAATTTTTTTCTCCAATCTACGCACACTGTTTACTTCGTGTCATGCGTGTCAAATACACAAACGGTTTGTCTATCACATACGGGCTAGCCAATCAGCACAGAGGCAGATGACAAAAGACAACAAAAGCTGTCAAGTGTTAACCATTGAAGAACTGAGGTTTCACGGCGCCACTTTGCGGAGAATTCAAACTTCAATCGGGTTAAATCGGACGCCATAGGATTTTCATGTAAACCGAGACGTGAAACCTTAAAAAAGCTTTCCGAAACTCGGGTCCTTCCCACGCCGACTTCCGTATTACGCTCCAAGACTACTCCACAACTAATTACAGGGTAATCGCAAATGATCGATAATATTTTCCACAGTGGCGCGAAACTGAAAGAATGCTTTGTGTTGTGGTCCAGCTGATTCATAACACTGCTTCCCGAATCAGCTAACCAAACCATCTACCTTACTTTCACTTGGTGATAAGCTAGAAATATCGACAATTAAAGAGAAAGCGATCGGACGTTCGAAAACAATTGTTAGGGAAGATCGCTTGGAATTTGGTTCGACCACAACTTCCCAAAACAAGAGCTGAGCAAATTTTCCTCAAGTCTTTTGATGGACAGTTTTACACAGCTTGGCGCCGTGCGGTCGACACCAAGTCATATTGTGGTTGCATTTAGGACGTTTAAATTCGCTATCACTTATCAATGTGATCCGAGGGTTAAAAAGTTGGATTACTTTTTCTTTATCCAAGGGCGGATAGCTCACGAACTATCCGTGAAAAATCGAGAAAATTTGTGTGACAGTGTGTGACTGACAAAATAAGCATGTTTGAACAACTACACAGAATCTGAGAGAAGTTTTCATAACGTAACTTTTCGATCCAGAAAAATTAAAAAAGTGAAGTTAATGTTAATCGGAAATGACGTATCAATACACATCATGTACAATCCCCACAAACACAAAAAGATTCGAGATTGGTGTTGTCTCTTAACGAATTATCCCACGCCTGTTTTGAAAACACTTGTTGTCATTTTTAAGCCTAATCTATCCCATGTCAACAGGAACATTTCCTGATTGTTTAAATCACCGTCTTTTAAAATTTGATCGTGATTAGATCCGTAGCCCCCGATCGTGTGTATCCTATTGTCGTTTCTGTTTGACATGACACTGGAGTTCAGTGAGTGACACAAGCATCAATCAATATTTAATTAACATAATCGGCTCTTTGAATTCACTTCGATACTAAACTCTAAACTAAAGAAAATTACGTTGTATATAGACTCGCTCCCAGCGATGGCAAACTCAATTCTCCTATAAAATCCATAAACGCAGCTCATGCAACCCTAATTGATTTTGCATACTTGGTGAACTCCAGCTTGCAAAACAATGAGAGACCTTTGAGGCGGCTTAAAGTTAATTGTTCTAATACCCTTATGCGTAAGAACAGCGCGTCACGTATCAGGTTCCCGCTCTCTCACTCAGGAAGTCATAGCCACACGTCTTGAGCTCGTGATTATGGGCGTATATAGATCAACAGCATAACCAAATTTGGCGCAAGGTGAAGCGGAACCCCTTATAAGGGCTGGTAAACATGTGCTGTACTAATGGGGTCACTTGATTACAAGTGAGAGCTGAGAGTAGTACGAATTATAGGGAGGAACGGATCACGGAAGTCGGGTTTAGAAAACAAACAGATTGTGTGGTTTTCAGAAAAAACATGTTCACAATCGTGACCAAATAAGGTGCAAGAGAGCCTAAGCCTTACTGTACCAAGTTATTTAACTTTTCTGTTGGCCACAATTAGCTAGGAAAATTTACCTACTTCTACCGCAAATGTTACTAAATTTGCGCATGCTTTTTCAAAGATGTAACTGATTTTAATGCAAAACATTGTTTATAAGATCGAGTAAAACTGATTTCTAACGCCTTTAACCACAAGTTAACCACACAAAGGAACAATAACCTTAGTTTTTGAAGGAAACACAACACAGTTAAACAGCTTGAATAGGTTTTGGGTCACTCAACAGGATGTGCATACGTGGGTGTGTCTTTGATTGAACAAAAGTAAAAGAAACCTTTTCATTTATATATGTCATTTCATTGTGTTTTTAAGGACTTGACCGTAAACAGCATGAAAGCACCAGCACCAATGCACGGAACTTTTGAACTGTGTTTGCTCTTACTGAAACAATAACTCCACAAGAATCACTTAACACAATATGAATAGTGGTCGAGTATGACAAGAACCTAAACTATATTTTATTGTTTTGGTATGGCAAGGCCACAAAACCCAACAGTCTATTCTGAATTGAAATTTCATATAAAGTCATATAAACATACATAATTTTGACATGTTCCAAAGTGTTAAATTTGTTTTTCGGGCTGCTAGCTGTAGATTATTCATCGCAATGTATATGACTTTAGCAATCTTTGAGAGTTGAAATTTGTTTACAGTAGGAAAATTGCTAAAAGAAAAAGAGGTCTTATGTCAGTGCCATAATTGGAAGGAGTTTCTTTGGGTTATTGGAAATTTCTAATTATTATGGAGGAAGGATCTCAATAGCCAAAATTTTAAAGGACAGTATGGACCAAACCCTGTATTTCCAGAGAGAATAGGGTATTCAAACTGAAAACCCTCAGTGGGAGGGATATGGATATTTTCTGGAAATGATGCAATATACATGGAGGTGTCTGTAAGGAGAACTTCACAGTAAATAAAATTGGTTTGGACAAAATTTAACACTGATTGTATTATTACTAACTTACTTCTTACTATAGATTTTTTAATATTTGAATTT